CATATGACAACAGGAAAATGCAAATTCCCTTCCTGTAAGCTTTTTCACCCTGAAATGTGTACCTCTTCAGTACAGGAAAGACTGTGCTATAACTTAAATTGCCAGGCATACCATCTAAAGGGGACAAAAAGATACAAAACATCCAGGCCATGGGAAAACCTGGGTAGCCACAGCCACTCAAGAGGGAGAGGTTTTTTAGTGCCAGGAAGGAAAAAAAACTGGCAGGAAATGGCAGAAATCGTACACCAAATCCAGTCATTCCTGGAGTGGAACCACAGTCGATGGCCTCCACTCCAAACCAACAGATACAGATACTAATGCCGGAAAAAAAATCCCCCCCCAGTACCAACAATACCACCAGTCCGATAACATTCTTCTTTGCAAATATACAGGGTCTAAAGCCAGCAACAAACAACAAAATACCTTTCATCCGTGGACTGCTTGCAGAGGCAAAGGCAATGTTCGCGGCTTTCACTGAGACCCACATAAAGGATCACTTGGACAATGAAATATGGATCCCAGGTTACAACCTATACAGATGTGACAGAGTGAACAGGCAAAAGGGGGGGGTTGGCCTGTACATTGCAGAGTCACTTGTTTGCACAGAACTGCTTAATGCCTCAAATGACGTAGTGGAAGTTTTAGCAGTAAAGGTCGAGAACCAAAACCTAGTCATTGTGGTAGTCTACAAGCCTCCGGATGCAACATCCCAGCAATTCCAGGAACAGCTGTTAAAAATTGACCACTGTCTGGAAAATCTTCCAGCTCCTGCACCCAACATCTTGCTCCTGGGGGATTTCAACTTAAGGCACCTAAAATGGAGGAATATAGCAAATAATATTGTTGCAGTAATAACACCAGGAGGCAGCTCTGATGAAAACTCACACTCACACGAGCTTTTAAATCTCTGCACAAAATTCAATTTAAACCAGCAAATAATAGAGCCTACTAGACTGGAGAATACACTAGACCTCATATTCACTAACAATGATGATCTGATAAGAAATGTCACATCAAAAACAATATACTCAAATCACAACATAATTGAGGTTCAGACATGTATGCGAGGAGCCCCAGACCGACAAAATGAGACTAGTCACGAGGGAGCATTCACCAAATTCAACTTCAATAACAAAAACATAAAGTGGGACCAAGTAAACCAAGTCCTAACCGATATAAGCTGGGAAGATATACTAAGCAACACAGACCCAAACTTATGCCTAGAACAGATTAACTCGGTGGCACTCGATGTATGCACAAGGCTTATTCCTCTAAGAAAAAGGAGGAGTAGATGTAAAATAGAAAGAGACAGGCGCTCCCTTTACAGGCGACGGAAAAGAATAACAGAGCGGCTAAAAGAGGTCAATATATCTGAAATGCGCAGGGAGACACTGGTCAGAGAAATAGCAAGCATCGAACTTAAGCTAAAAGAATCCTTTAGGAGTCAGGAATCGCGGGAAGAACTAAAAGCTATAAATGAAATCGAAAGAAACCCAAAGTATTTCTTCTCCTATGCCAAATCAAAATCGAGAACAACGCCCAGTATTGGGCCCCTACTTAAACAAGATGGGTCCTACACAGATGACAGCAAGGAAATGAGTGAGCTACTCAAGTCCCAATATGACTCAGTTTTTAGCAAGCCCCTAACCAGACTGAGAGTCGAAGATCAAAATGAATTTTTTATGAGAGAGCCACAAAATTTGATTAACACAAGCCTATCCGATGTTATCCTGACGCCAAATGACTTCGAACAGGCGATAAATGACATGCCCATGCACTCTGCCCCAGGGCCAGACTCATGGAACTCTGTGTTCATCAAGAACTGCAAGAAGCCCCTATCACGAGCCTTTTCCATCCTATGGAGAGGGAGCATGGACACGGGGTCGTCCCTCAGTTACTAAAAACAACAGACATAGCCCCACTCACAAAGGGGCAGTAAAGCAACAGCAAAGAACTACAGACCAATAGCACTAACATCCCATATCATAAAAATCTTTGAAAGGGTCCTAAGAAGCAAGATCACCACCCATCTAGAAACCCATCAGTTACACAACCCAGGGCAACATGGGTTTAGAACAGGTCGCTCCTGTCTGTCTCAACTACTGGATCACTACGACAAGGTCCTAAATGCACTAGAAGACAAAAAGAATGCAGATGTAATATATACAGACTTTGCAAAAGCCTTCGACAAGTGTGACCATGGCGTAATAGCGCACAAAATGCGCGCTAAAGGAATAACAGGAAAAGTCGGTCGATGGATCTATAATTTCCTCACTAACAGAACACAGAGAGTAGTCGTCAACAGAGTAAAGTCCGAGGCAGCTACGGTGAAAAGCTCTGTTCCACAAGGCACAGTACTAGCTCCCATCTTGTTCCTCATCCTCATATCCGACATAGACAAGGATGTCAGCCACAGCACCGTGTCTTCCTTTGCAGATGACACCCGAATCTGCATGACAGTGTCTTCCATTGCAGACACTGCAAGGCTCCAGGCGGACATCAACCAAATCTTTCAGTGGGCTGCAGAAAACAATATGAAGTTCAACGATGAGAAATTTCAATTACTCAGATATGGTAAACATGAGGAAATCAAATCTTCATCAGAGTACAAAACAAATTCTGGCCACAAAATAGAGCGAAACACCAACGTCAAAGACCTGGGAGTGATTATGTCGGAGGATCTCACCTTCAAGGACCATAACATTGTATCAATTGCATCTGCTAGAAAAATGACAGGATGGATAATGAGAACCTTCAAAACTAGGGAGGCCAAGCCCATGATGACACTCTTCAGGTCACTTGTTCTATCTAGGCTGGAATATTGCTGCACTCTAACAGCACCTTTCAAGGCAGGTGAAATTGCCGACCTAGAAAATGTACAGAGAACTTTCACGGTGCGCATAACGGAGATAAAACACCTCAATTACTGGGAGCGCTTGAGGTTTCTAAACCTGTATTCCCTGGAACGCAGGAGGGAGAGATACATGATTATATACACCTGGAAAATCCTAGAGGGACTAGTACCGAACTTGCACACGAAAATCACTCACTACGAAAGCAAAAGACTTGGCAGACGATGCACCATCCCCCCAATGAAAAGCAGGGGTGTCACTAGCACGTTAAGAGACCATACAATAAGTGTCAGGGGCCCGAGACTGTTCAACTGCCTCCCAGCACACATAAGGGGGATTACCAACAGACCCCTGGCAGTCTTCAAGCTGGCACTGGACAAGCACCTAAAGTCAGTTCCTGATCAGCCGGGCTGTGGCTCGTACGTTGGTTTGCGTGCAGCCAGCAGCAACAGCCTGGTTGATCAGGCGCTGATCCACCAGGAGGCCTGGTCACAGACCGGGCCGCGGGGGCATTGACCCCCGAAACTCTCTCCAGGTAAACTCCAGGCCGTTCCAGGAAGCTAGAGGAATAGCTTCAGTAACTTGGGATTAGGCTGAAAAGAAATTCAATTAAGTCACCAGCAAGCAAAAAATGAGTAATGAGCAAAATTGCATTTTCTAAACACAAATGTTCATCAGTCTTTAAAAATGAGACCAGTTTGATCAAAAATGTATAGGTGGTTACCAAGAAATTGTTGCAAATATGAGTTTGCAATCTTCTCAGAAGTGACACTTGGTGAGTTATCATTTTTCTTCTCAGTGCCTCATGGTACATGAACAAGTTAATTTTTCCTGATCTGGTCCTCATCACAATCATTCAAAATTCAAAGCCAATCAGATCATTCTCGAATTATAGTGAAATAAAAAGCAGAAGGAAAAAAAAGGCTCAGACAAGCGCTTAAAGGTCCACCTTCAGGATACCTAATTCAAAAGATATTGTATGTGATCTAGCTACTTGGGTTAACTGGGGTAAATATTTAAAGCCCTTGGATTTAGGTCCATTTTTAAATGTTTATTATTAGGTTTCTAAAAATGCAATTAAAGCTTGTTATATAGGTGTTTGGAAACCTGTATATTGCTTTATCTTTTATGGGATCAAAGTAATTGAATGCAAATTCAGTAAATATATATTAATTAGCCATATCTCTTGTATTTACAGCTTTTACATTGCATCTATACTCTGTAACTGCTCTTTCACTGCCTCTTTTGGAGCTAAAGTTTTGTATCCACATACACTAAAGAAAATACCAAGAAAAATCTGAAGCTATGGAATACAGCTACAGATATACAATTGGATAAAACTGAGAAAAAGACAAAATAAAATCCCTTCATTAACCCTTTCACTGTCTCCCATGTAGATCTATGTTATCAATGCCAGTGTCGCTACCCTATATTTATGGCAGAAGCACAGTTCCCTCAAATATAGTGGGAAATTTTGGCGTAACATATGAGAATCGGTCTACAGGGTACAGTATAAACAAAAATCCTGTCCTATGCAGTATATGATGGGAAAAGCAAACCACTGACCTTATGTTTGGTTTAAATTAGAAAGTTTGAGGTGTTTTCTAAGGCACTTTTTATGCCTTTACTTGCCATTTTTAATATGAATTGATAGAATGCAAAACATATTGAGAAACAGATGATTTTGGTCAGGTTCAGGTTTGGAAGTAGCTTGAAACAGGGCTCAAAGTAGTGGAAATATTTTATTTTTGGCAATTTTCCTAAGGAACGGTAGGGCCACATAACACTCTCCTTCCTCCTGTCTGTTTTATGGGTTTTTGCTAGTCTCCTTTAATTACTGGGATGCTTTAAACAATGACCAATTATTGTTGGTTGTAATTTATCTGAGAAATATTGGAAAATTTTGATTTTTTGTGTGATGATGGATTCAAAATGGAAGGTATTACAGCCTCTCCTCACTTAGTGATATACTTGTTTACCGACAACTCGGACTTACGACAGGCTCTCTGGCCAGTATGCATACTTAAATAATGAACATTAGAGCTGATTTTCTCTATTCTGTTTATTACAATATACAGTACACTACTGTGTAAACATTTAAAAATATACTAAAAATGTTATGAATGGTGCAAAGGCGACATTAAAAAAAATATCAAATATGGTTGGCACAAACCCACTACCATTATAGTATGCTCCTTGCTTAGCGATGTATTCATTTACCAATGTGGTCTTAGGAACGTAATTCCATCAAGTGAGGAGAGACTGTATATAGAAGAGGCCTGTAGATGTAATTAACCAGTTAACTGTCCAAACCTAGATCGACGTTCGCTCATGTAGTACTCCGAACATAGATCTACGTTTTTTACATGCTTTCTAATGGATAAAATCAAGGATGGAACGCTACGAGCAAAAACGTAATCTATGTTTGGACAGTTAATGGGTTAATGAACAAAGGATGGGAGATTTACAGGCTGGAATGCATACAGTGTTTATTTTGGATTCTGTTTTTAAATTGGAATTTGTTGAATTTTGTATAAAATTGGCCAAATTAACAAATTCTTTGCAATTTATAAGTTCTGATAGTTGAATGGGAAGTTTATTGTGCTCAATCAATAGACTGGAAGGCATACTAGCAAAATAGCTGGGAAGCTGGTCAAATTGAACAATGGAATCGATTTAAAATAGAATACAACTGGGCAAAATCGCCAATGTGAAAACTGCATCAAGACTGATAACTTTGTGCCTGCATAATTCCATATGTTTTCCATCAATTTTTTTTTTAATTTTTGGTGTCATTACCTCCAGAAAAAGATTCTATACCATATCAGAAGAAAAATTTATATATTTTTTAAAAAATGCGACACTTTCAGCACTTAATTTTGTGGGTCACAACAGTGAAAGTGTTAAGAAGAAAATTTTCAATAAACACATCTATTCCAATATTATGTAGAAAGTTTTATAAACATAAACTTTTGAAAAATAAAGTAAATATATAATATACATTACTAGTTTAATAATAGCATAATAAGACTACGCACTAAACCTAGAAGGGTCCTGCAACATTACTATTTTAAAGCTAATTAAGGTAAATAAAATATTCTTTTGTAATATGAGTTGACTAAAAACACACACAAAAAAAGTCCATTAACCACAGACCCAAAACACTTTTATACCTTAAGCCATTAACATAAATCTCCTGATATATAGCAAATGCAATGAAGTGCAAAGTAGTGAAGTTGTTAGATTTACACGGTACTTTGGACCTATAATGTTACTCAGTGTAATGAAGTGAAACACTATTTACTGCTATAAAAATTTTTTAGAGGGATTATTATTATAAACAAAATGAATTCATAACTTTATAAAATAGAAGGCAAAATTTACATTTCAAGGTGAGATCAGTTACAAGCAAAGAGTAATAACTTGCAAGTGCAAAGAGCATTTTACAATAACGAAACTTAAAATGAGTGATCATACTTATGCCTCTGGTGAATATTAGTGACTGACTCATCAAAGAAGTGATCCCAGAAGCCATCAAATGAAACTGTTGCTGGCTTTCACTCCCAACAAACTTATTTGTGAAAATTTGAATGAGCTGATGGCATTCACAGAATAATTTGAAACAAATAAAACCTACTTCACTAAAATAGAACTTCATGTTAAAATAGATCAGTGGGAAGGAAGTCAGTGGATGCTGCTGCTTCACTTGATTATGTATATCAAGTGAGGCATTCGCCACATCACACACTGATTCACTAGAGCCTGAGACTTAACAATACTAGATAAGGCCTATGTGAAATCTCTCTCAGGTACTGACATGTTATAAGGTCTCCTCTTCAGCATCATCTCCTAACTGCTTATTAGATGCTTTCCTAAAATTTCTTAGATACTCTGAACACTGGGAACTCTCATTTGTTGTATTAGATATTTTTCTGAAGTTTCTTAGATGCTCTAAGGACTGGTATTCTATATATTCTGTATGAGCATCCATGTGTTTTTCTAGAGATTTTTTATACAGAAATTCTTTCTGACATACTGAACACTGATAAGGTTTCTTAGCTGTATGGAGTTGCATGTGTTTTATTAGAAGGGATTTTTCTTGAAAGTCTTGTTGACACTCTGAGCAGTGATAAGGTTTCTTCAATATATGACCTCTCATATGTTTTACTAAACTTATACTGTCAGCAAAGCACTTTACACATTCAGAGCATTTGTACGGTTTCTCTTCCGTATGAACTTTCATATGATTTAGCAGAGCCTGCTGATCTGAGAATTCTTTTGGACATTCTGAACACAAGTATGCTGTATCTCCTGTATGAACTCTCAAATGTCTTACCAAATCTGTTTTATCCGAATAAACTTTTAAACAATATGAGCATGGGTATGGTTTCTCTCCTGTGTGAACTCTCATATGTATAACTAAATGAGATTTTTGAGCAAAGTCTTTCAAACACACTGAACACTGATATGGTCTCTCTCCTGTATGAATTCTCATGTGTAGTATTCGAGCTGAACTTTGTTTAAAACTTTTAAAGCATACCGAACATTGATAAGGCTTCTCCCCAGTATGAACTCTCATGTGATTGACTAAAGCAGCTTTAAGTTTAAAATCTTTTGGACACAATGAGCACTGAAATGGCTTTTCTCCTGTATGAACTCTCATATGCTGTATGAGAGATGATTTATATGTAAAGTCTTTTGAACATACTGAGCACTGCAATGTTTTCTCTCCTACATGCATCCTCATGTGTTGTATCAGACCTGCACTGTCTGGAAAATTCTTTAGGCACTCTAAACACTGGAACGGTTTCTCACCCGTGTGAACCTTCTCGTGGTTCACCAAACCCTCTTTCCGTTTAAAATCTTTCAAACACATCGAACACTGAAATGGTTTCTCTCCTGTATGAATTCTCATATGATTCACCAAATGGGAGCTCTGTGAAAAGTCCTTATGACATATTGAACACTGGAATGGTTTATCTCCCGTATGGACTCTTAGATGCCTTGTTAGGCATGATTTTTTAGTAAATTCTTTTGAACAGACTGAACATTGATAAGGTTTATTTCCTCCACTAGCACTCATGTTTTGCATGCTTTGATATTATACAAACCCTTCCAGTTACGCTAATCTTTTTTTTAACTCTGAATTTATTATTTTTATAAGTCAAGATATGGAACTTTGATATAGTGTTGTTTCCTTAACTCATAAATAAGTTAGTATTATATTTAAAGTTCTTTTGTATACGAAAGCTAATACAATTTTGATATATTAAGTCACTTAGGTAATGAGTATAAATATGATTTGTGTGTAAACTTGTTTCACTGGAGAAGTATTTAATATAAGATCATAAATAAAAGCACTTACATAACAGTAAGGATAATTTTCATATAAACTATAAGGCAATAAAAACACTGGTAATTTTATCTATAACTAGTCTTGTGTGTTTCAAGATAATCTTCCAAAATAAAGTTCACTATTTACCACAATAAATTGTAGTGAGAAGGCAGTCTCAAAAGTGTCTTTCATATGAATACTTATGTAAAGTACAGCAATGAAAGATCCTTCTTGAAAGTGTTGGGGCCACTGTACACCGGAATGCTGCCCGGGAGACCTACAAAGATTTCCTTAACTTTACACAACATCAACTCGGACACGTGCACTAAGACATACCTGTGCGAATAATTAGGATAAAAATTTTAAATAATTTTTCTTTAAATAAATCTAGTTATACTCTATTTGATAAATAAAATATTCAAAGACATCAGTGTCACAAAACAGTGTTCTGATTTGCATAAACTTTTTATAAAACTATATAGTCATAAATATATTTCAATTATTTTTTATAAACTTAAATTATGTTAAACGCTAAAGTGTTTTTTTGTCATAAAGCTACATAGCTGCAAGTCAGTCCTGTCAAAAATATTTAACTATTAGCATTGGTATTATACATTCAATTATACGAAATAAAAATTGACTACATGTACTCTCTTTTCAAAGTCAAAATACCAATTTATTAAGCAACAAATTTACCCAGTATATAATCTCCTTTGTAATTTTCTGAAGACAAACAATGACAGGACATAATGATAGATTAAAACTGTATTAGTCATTCAAGATTAGTTGTAAAAAATTATAAAACACACTCTAAAATAATGCTGGTAAAAAAATAGAAAAAATTTACAGCGTAAATCATAAGCAAGTCAGACTTAAATATATATACATGTACTTTATATATTGTTGACAAGATAATATATAGTGAATGTGGCTAATATGTGCACTTGGGAACCCATCTCACGTTAATCCTCAAGGTGCTAAAATGATTATAAATAGTACATCTGATAAGAATAAGTTGATTCATCAGACTAAAAATGGGATGGAAGGAAAGTGCAAAACTATAATGGTGTGAATTATTATTATAATCAAAAAGAAGTGCTAAGCCACAAGGGCTATACAGCACTGCATAATGGTGTGAAGTAGCAATATAAGACAGATGATATAAAATGATTCTCTATTTCATGCATAACATAAAACTGATTATAGTGCTATATATACGTATATATATATATCTATAAATATATACATACAGATTATAGACTTCTGGGAATTCAGCACAAAGAATTCACTTCAATTCTTCTTGTGTATAATATTCCAAACGTGAACAATTTTCAAAAATATTAAATATTTACCACTTTCAACATTTCATCATAAAATCAATATGGAATATATTACACATGATAAAACTTAAGAGGTAAACTTTAGTTTCCAAACTGTAAAATACAAGATGGAGTGAATGATGGTGAAAGTTTTTCTTTTTCGGGCCACCCTACCTTGGTGGGAACCATCCGATGTGTTAATAAAAAAAATATATATATATACTGTATATGCAGTGCCTCTTCCCTCTGCAGGACCTTTATTATCTTTGAGAGTTGCTACTGCAAGTTAAATCCTTCTTGGAAGGGAGTATCTGAAAAAAAGAAGAATAAACAAAGGTTGTTGGACAAATTTGGATGGATAAGTACAATAATCAAATTAAAAGTAAACACTGGAAATAGCAAGGTGATGAGGATAACAAAAAGTTTAGGTAATAAAAGACTGAACATCAGACTGGAGGGAGGAAGTATGGAGGAAGAGAATGTGTTCAGATATTTGGGAGTGGACTAGTCAGTATAAGGGTCTATAAAGGACGAGGTGAATCATAGAAATGACAAGGGGGAAAAAGGCGAGTGGGGTACTGGAAAATCTGTGGAGACAATGTTTTCCATGAAACCAAAAAGGGGAATGTATGAAAGTAGTATAGTGGTACCAACACTTATATGTGTGTGAAGCATGGGTAGTGAATGCTGCAACATGGAGAAGGCAAGAGGCAGTGGAGATGTCATATCTGAAGGCAAGGTGTGGTGTGAATATTATGCAGAGAATGCACAGCTTGGATATTAGGAGGTGCGGGGCTGTTACAAGTATTATCCAGAAGGCTGAAGAGAGGATGCTGAAGTGGATTTTACATTTAGAAAGGATGGAACAAAATAGGATGACTTGGAAGGCATATAAATCAGAAGTGGAAAGTAAGCAGGGTAGGGGTCATCCCAGAAAAGGTTCAAGGGAGAGGGTAAAAGAGGTTATATGTGCAAAAGGCTTAGATTTCCAGTGTCTGTGAGCGTGCCAAGAGTCATGGCAAATAGTTTTGAGGACTTGACGAGTTGTTGGAATGTGAGCCAGGTGAGATTTCATGAAGGAAATCAGGGAAACCAGGATATTTACTGTTTAGAGGGACATCTAACCTGTCATATTTGTGTGCCTCTGGCTAGACAGTGACACTGTAAATGATGGTGAAAGTGTTTTAGGTCACCCTGCCTCTAAGAGAGATGGCCAGCGTGTTAAAATAAATAAATAAATATATGCAATAAGATCACAGTAAACAAGTGATATCAAAATATGCAAAACAACCACTGTGAAATAATAGTGAAATTCCAAGTGCTTTCATGACTTTTCACAAAAGCACTTGGAATTTCACTATTCTTTCACGTGGTTGTTTTGCATATATTATATATGTATATATACAGTAGACCCTCAACCAACGATATTAATCCGTTCCGGAAAGCTTATCGTTAGACAAAATTATTTTCCCCATAAGAACTAATGGAAATCCAATTAATCCGTTCCAGGTAGCCAAAAATATTAATTTTTTTTTTTTTCATGAAACATACATTTCCCTTAGCTGAGTTATTTGGTTCTAGCTGAGCCAATACTTTTATGCCAAAGTGAGCCGTTAGCCGATTTTGGCTTTAGCCAAAGCCGCTGTTACTCGAGGATCCACTGTACAGTGGAACCTCTACTTATGAGTTTAATCTGTTCCATGACCTTACTCGCATCTGGATTTGCTCATTTGCAGAGTCAATTTTCCTCATTTAAATTAACTGAAATGGAACTAATTCGTTCCAGTGGAACTCCAGGCATGAGAAAATACTTCAATAATTTCCCTAATATCAACTCTATGGCTTATTTATCTATCACAATTTATGTAATATGACATAATGAACAATATTAATAACATAGAAACATGATATATACACTAGAATGAATAAAATACATGTCACTAGGTATGTGGCTAGTGGTGGTGACAGCAGCCATTGTTGTTGGGGTTTATAGGGCCACCACAGTGGCCATTCCTGATCCTGAGTACATGTGTAGAGAACCTAGGATAACCCAAAAAAGTTAGATGGAGTGACTTATAAGTGCTACACTTAATTGCTACACTCTTAATGCCACACTTTGCCACTGCTGCTTCATGTTGTCTGCCACTGCTGCTTCATGATGTTTGCCACTGCTGCTTCATGTCTGCTGCTACTGCTGCTGTTTCATGTTGTCTGCCACTGCTGCTTCACGTTGTCTGCCACTGCTACTTCACGTTGTCTGCCACTGCTGCTTCATGTTGTCTGCCACTGCTACCTCATTTGAACTTTGGCAAAAATCGAACATTTCTGCTACTTTGAGCTCAATTTCAAGGCACTTTTCATTGTGAAACCAATCAAAATCATCTCAATTTCTGTAATATGTCTTCCATTCTATAAACTGAGACCAGGAAAACTAGAATACAACCATAAATAGCATACGAAAATACACTGAAAACTCGCTGTTTTAAACCAAAAACACGGTCGGAGTTTTTTTTCTCATTAAACACTGTGTGCTGCAGGATTTTTTTATACTGTGCACACTGACCACATAGACCCATTCTTTCATATGTAGGCCTACCAGCTTTCTCTCACTAGATTTGAAGGCGCTAGAATTTATGCGTACTAGTACGGCACCAACCCTGAAAGGGTTAAGCGTTGTTCGTACAAGCTCAGTGAAACTATCCTGTGGTGTTTTTTAAATATTTTCATCGAGAGTTAGTAATCACAGCTAAATAAAAAAAATAGTAGTGATCCAAACAAGCCTAAATGGAAAACAGTGAGAACAATTAAAGTGAAAAAAGAACTCATTGCCAAATGGAAAAGTGGTACAAGTGTCAGACATGGCCAGTCAATATGGTATGGCAAAACCCACCATATTGCACATATTGAAAAATAAAGAGGCGATAAAAGGGGCTCATGTGGCAAAAGTAGTGAAAATTTTTGCTGTGGAAAGGTCACAAATAACTGAAGAAATGAACTCTGCCTGAAAGAAATTGTGGCCAGATGGTGTGCCAGTCAGATATTTTGAAGGCTTTGAGGCAGACCCTGTAGTGAAGGATATTGTTTCTCAGGGATGTAGAGGAGTTGATGGAGGCTCACAAGAATGAGCTCACCACAGAAGAACTTCAAGACCTGCACAAGAAGCAGCAGCAAGAAGTGGTTGAGGAAATTTCTTCTTCAGAGGAGGGAAGCAGTAAGGGCAACATTTCCACTGTAAAAATTAAGGAACTGCATTACCATTGGGCTCAAACACAGAACCTGGTGGAAAAATGGCATCTTAACATTACTAGAAATATAAACACACATGCAGCATAATGTGATCCTTTATTGACAACATTTCGCCCACACAGTGGACTTTATCAAGTCACAAACAGATCTGTCAAAAACAGATCTTGTTTGTGACTTGATAAAGCCCACTGTGTGGGCAAAACGTTGTCAATAAAGGATCACATTATATTGCATACGTGTTTATATTTCCATTGTGTCGGTATTTTATACCATTTATTTCCGTCTTAACATTACTGCTGTGAATAGGAGCATCAACCTGTTCAATGACAATGTTGCTGACCTCTTTAGAAAAATTTTGAAAAGTCATCAAAAGCATACATTGGACAGCCTCGTTAGCAAAAAAAAAAAATCAAATGCTAGTGAATCTTCATCCAAGTGCTACTGCACAGAGACAGAAAAGAGAAAAAACACCAGATGGGTAATTACTTGATGTTTTTATGGAAGGTGACACCCTTTCCAAACAATAACATCTCTCCATCTTCCTCTTAGGCCATCAGCACTCCTTAGTAAAGTGCATTTAAATTTTCATTTATTTCTTGTATTTATTGTTTTTATAGTTTTCATCTATGATTTTTTAATCAATATTTTCACTTAAAATGTTTTATAATTAGTAATTTTTTTGGGTCTGGAACAGATTAATCCAATTTACATCATTTCTTATGGGAAAAATTGATTCAACATTTATTTATTTTTATTTATTTATTTATTTATTTATTATAAATTTGTGCACACATACAGAGGTACAAAAAAATACAGATAAGAGCAGTATGCCAAAGCCACTTATACTATGCATAGCATTACGGGCTGGCTTAAAATTAACTTAAGATTAATTAAGCAATGATGAAGTCAGTGATAAAACATTAATGTAAACAGATTACTATAAAGCACAAGTGAGTATTACAAAGACAGGTCATATGAAGGATTCTGTTAGGTAGTGTATTTAAAAAATAATAAAGTTAGATTGGGTTTTAGGTTTAACATTTATGTGATATAATTGTGAGAAACATTTAAGATATACAATTTATAAGGTTCAGTTATTCAGTATTTATTTGGTTTTGGGTGAGTAAGTGATCTTTGAGTAGAGACTTGAATTTATAAACAGAAGTGTTTTCTTTTATATTTACAGGTAATGAATTCCAGATTTTAGGGCCTTTTATGTGCATTGAGTTTTTGCATAGTGTGAGATGAACACAGGAACATCAAAGAGTGATCTGTGCCTTGTGTTATGGTCATGTGTTTCTGTTGAGGTTGGCAAGGAGATGTTTGAGGGAGCGTTAATATATCAAGTTAAGTGTTCTATGTATGTAATAGGTGCAGTAATAAGTATGGATGTTTTGTATGGTGAGTAGGTTTAGTGTATTGAATATTGGTGGAGTGTGCTGCCTGTAGTGAGAATTTGTTATCATTCTAACTGCAGCCTTTTGTTGGGTAATTAGTGGTCTGAGATGGTTAACTGTTGTTGAGCCCCATGCACAAATTCCATAGGTGAGATAGGGGTAAATAAGAGAACTCACTACATACACACTCTCCTGGAACAGGTTGAGTTTGAATATCAAGGTACCACTGTATCTAGGAAAGCTCTGGTTTAGCAACAGCTGTGCATGAACTGTATCACTGTAGGCAACAAGAGCATTTCACCCCTCCGTGGAAGATGTGTTCATTTAATATCACATACCTGCAAGTCCCTCCCAAGAACCTCATTGCTAGTAATCCCTTCCTTAAATCACTTGTTAGAGCAACTGCTCAAGAAGAAATTTCTCACCTAGCTGGTAGTAATAAGTTATCACAAGTTATATACACTGATGGATCTAAACAGGAGTCTTCTGGCAGGGCTGCATCTGCTCTTGTTGCCACCTCCCTAGTTAAGAACGATAATAAATTTGTTGAGTTAAGCATAAGAATTAACAACTGGGAGTCTACACTGCAAACTGAATTGTTTGCAATCCTAATGGCGCTAAAGCTAACCTATGACACTGAGCTTGACTCTATCATCATTACTGA